ACTGTCAGTGAATTGCTGCTGAGCTACACTCAAGTGATCCAAAGAAGAGAACCATGCCTCCCACCACAAAGGAAGACAAAAACCCTAACAATCCATGCCAACCTGTGGGGTAAAATCCCTTCCTGATCCTAAATGTGGCCATTAGGCTGACCCTGAACAGAGGGGCAAGACCCCTGGGACAGGAAACCTCTAGTTCTTAGTTCTAGAAGGAGTATCAGTGCACCACAGTCAAAATCCCCAGCCTTGGCTGCAGGCAACACCCAATGCTCTAAGGAAGGTGGAAAAAGCCCCTGATACCTGTAACAAATAAAGGGAAAAACATTTAAAGAGCACAAGTGATAACTTAGATCATCTTCTCTTTGACAACTTTTTTTTAAACCACACCTACACTTTAATATTTTGGGGATTGTTTTTATTTTATCAAAGCTCTTGTTTTCATGGCAGACATTCCTATCAGGTAAAGATGTTCTCAGTTTATTATTGCTCCTATCTTCATAATTTTTGCCACAGGTATAATGTGTTCTGTCCCACTCCTGTTCTGCTGAGGACAGCAGACTGTGAAAAATGACAGTGTAATCCAGGAGCCCACAGTCTGGTTGTCCTGATGTTCCTATTCTTTTTCTGCCTAGTCAAGCCAGAAAAATATGACAGGTTTGAAAGATTAAAAAGTAGTATATTATGGCACTGCTTTTCACAAGAGTCCACTGGTTATTAGAGTGGTTGATTTTTTTTTCTGTGAAAAAGGTTGTCATGAGAACAAAAAAGAGCACGGTGTGCATCATTTCTTGTAGGCAGTCTGAATGCTTATGTTTTGTTGACTTCCTCAGATTCAGTAATGAAGATGAGTGTCTGAGCTACCACTGGAGCAAACGAAGTGTTTAGTGGATAGTCCAAGGCAGCTGTTTCAATTGGGTTTCTAATCCTTTGTCATTCTTGTTTACTTCCTACAGGGTGGTCAATCGAGAAGTTCTGCTATTGGATCCCTTCAGGCAGTAATCAAGGCAGTCTGTAAAGAGCAATCTTCATTCTTCAGCAATGCCAACATGTTCATTGACATGCCCAGAATCACAGAACTCTTGGAGGAGGATATGGCAAAATACAGCATTCCCAAAGACTCAAGTAAGAGAAAGATCAATAATAAATTGCATACATGCCTATTTACTGACATTTTTTGCATCTTAAATGGAAATGTTGAAAAATCAACTTCATTTGAACTAGTTGGCATTGCAATTCTGAAATGACTGATGCACTTTTTATTGCTAAGATATAATTATGGAAACAAGTAAGTCAAGTTACTTTTTGTACCCCTGTAAGTAATCATAAATAGGATATCCTTGTCTCAGAGATGGCATATTTATTGGAAGATCATAGAATATTTAATATTAAAAACATTTTTAGATAGAAGCGTACAACTCTGCAATGTTCCACTTTTTTGTGAACTTTAGTATAATTTTATGATGAAATATTAAGGCTTTGGGAATACAATCAGAGAAAGATGCATTTTTCCTCCTATTTTGGTGTCACAGAAATGTTTGGCTACCTTACTGTACTCCACGTTAGTAAAATAAGTTGTCCATTCCCTGCTATTACCTTCGTTCTCATCCCTATGTATCCGAATAGGCTTCAACAACATTTGACTAGTTTTCATCTAGTCATCATCATTACTAGTTTTGGGAATTAACCATAAAATATTAACAAGATGTTATTAGATTGTCCTGTTGGCAGCCATGAGGGGGTGTTGACCCATATATAATCCCACAGGCTACCCTCTTGCAATTCTATCATCGGTCCAGGAAGGTAATGCTGAGACTGCCTGGTAATACCCCTCCCCCCACCCATGTAGATGTGCAGTGTCTAGTGCCAGTCTTTATTACAACTGAATTGAGGTGAAAATGTTACATGCATACAGGGCCAAGAACAATAGTTTCCCCCAAACACCAATGATGCAGCTGCACTTTTCTGGGGCACAGTTCTTTCCCTGGACTCCTCTTGACCTCATGTTGCCATAAACTTTTCCTTACAGAGACCTATGCAAGGAGTGGGCTACATTGGCTTTGTCTATATTTCTGCTGCAGAGCCTCAAAGCACCAGTAAGGGTGTGAAGAGGCCCAACCCACCTACTCATGCCCTCAGGCACATTCCAAGCTCAGCAGTAGCCTGATATGGCTGTTCTGTACTCCCCTTCTAGTGTCCACTATCATGCCTGCTGGAGACGAGGGGCTTAGGCAGAGGAAATGAACCTAGAGCCACCCTCCCTGCTGTATTTCCAATTTTGAGTGAGACTACAGACAGGTCTGGAAAGGGTGTACTTGAGTGGTGGGTCCTATTGGCATAGTGGGTATAAAAAAGCCCAGTATGATAGTAGTGCTGTGAAATGTCCTGGAAACACCTGTTCTTGTTGATGCTCGCAACTGTACTTTGAAGTAGGGCTGTGTGAAGCTTCGGTCCTTGATTTGATTCGGCGGAGATTCGGTCCAATTCAGTGGCCAAATCTCCGAATCCAAATTGAATCAGAGGACCCTTTAATCTCCAGTCCACTTCTGGGTCCACCAGGGAGCGTGGGGGGGCGGGGCATGCCATCCTGGCCCAGCAACTGGTATTTCCTGGGTCTGGGGGGGCACCCGGGGTCCCCCCCAGACAATTGCCAGCTGGGGGTGGTGCAGGGGGGCCCCCCTGCGTATTCCCTGGTGGACCTGGAAGTGGACTGGAAGTACTTCTGGTCCACTTCTGGGTTTGCTGCTGAGCATGCGGAGGGTCCCTGTGCACTCCTGTGGGACTCTCCATGTGCCCCAGCGAGCTGCTCTGGTACCTCGAGGTATGTAGAAAAAACTTTTAAAGCTGTGTCTTTGTCTAACTCTCTTATTCTCTGAATTGGCATTGAATCTTCAGATTCAGATTCGGCCAAATTGAATCAGGGACAGTGATCCGAATCAAGAAATTGAATTACTGCCCCTGATTCAGGCTGAATGTGAATCTGAATTGAATAGGGCCCCCTTTGCACACCCTTACTATGAAGTAGATACTGTTATGTTTTATATATAAAATAAGGCAAAGGGAAAGTATGCCTAAAATCACATAACAAGTCAGTCTGACTCTCAGTGGCCCTTCCTTCTGTACACTAATCATTGAACTTATGGCTTTAGCCTTATGCCCAAAAACACTGGACAGCATGCTAAATATCCATGTTTGTTTAGGATTAACGAATGTTATGTGCTGTGCAAATACTGTTATATTTGTCTAGTACCCTTGGAGCCTATGTTTAATTTTTCTTCAGTTACTGTATCTTTTTAAAAATGACTTACCTTCTTAAAGATAGAATTATGGTGTGATATTGGCAAAGGATGGTGAGCTAGAATATCCTTAGTCATTATGATATTTCTGACTTGCACTTCCTGGTTTTAGGCAGGTCCTTTTAGCTTTCTGAGCTTCATGGTGAAATACAGATGATAATTCTCATGTGCTTCACAGAGGTGTTCTAACATTATATTTCTACTGTATGATGAATATGAAATATTTCCAAATCAGCTGCTAGCAAAGATGCCTGATAAAAGCAAAGCACAGCTATATAGGGACTGCTATATAGGGACTGTTCCTGCAAAGAGTATCTATCTCCCTGTGCCTGCTGAAATCTCTCTGGGAAGGACTGGGACCATATTTTGGAATGAGAGTCTAAAGGACAAATATCCATAATTAAAACTTGTTTATCATGTGTTCTTAGGTACTGAGAACATGTTTTTCAGTTAAGTAATTGAAACAGATTGATTTAAAAAAAAGAAGAATTAAGCACCATTCAGTTCAATGTTACAGCTGCAGCTCTCTGCATCTTTCTGAAATAGAGTCCTTGCTATCTCTCTTTATAAAGAGAGAGCCAAGTTGCATAAGAAAGCAAGCTGCTGATTAGGTTCACAAGTCACCTTCTCTTGTATATCTAGTTTCCCATATCTTAAAGAGCTTTTGAATTGCATGACATTTTATAGCAGTGCTTGTTTCTTCAGCAGCCACTTTATTTATGTGTACTTTGCATGTTGTTTCACTCTGAAGTGGTAACATACAGAGATCTTCAGATATGTGCAGATTATGAAGTATTTTAACTAAGAGGCATGGGACTGAAAGGTGCCTGTTGGCTCATGGAGTTTAGGCCCAAAGCTCTTTAAGTCCTGATGGCCTTTGATTTAAAGTAGAAGTTTCGGATTCTCAACAACTCATAGCAAACTCTGGATGAACAAATTTAATATATCCATGAAGCAGTAATAACAGTACATTTAGGGCCTAGACACATGACATGTTTTCACTGGTATAATCCCCTTTATGCTGCTATAAACAAAGTGCACACATGCAATGTATGGAGGCTTAACTAATTTAAATTAGGTGGAAAATTCATTTCAGAAAAATCAGTATTAAAACTGTACCGGTGTGTATGTTGTGTATTCACAGGTTTCTTAGGTTAGTACTTTGTTATAGGCAGATATGAGCTACTACTTGTTTTCCCTACTGGTTTAGGCACTATAATAGTGCCTACTGTGAGCAAATATCCTGGAAGACCTGCTCCTCTTTAATTCCAGTATAAATGACATTGGTGTAAAAAGCTGAGGTAAATGACACTGGTATAAATGTGTCGTGTCCAGGCCCTGAGAACTGAAGCTTTGCAGTAACTTGCAGGGTTGGACCTTATGTTGAAGTACATTGGCATTTTGTCACTGAACAAATCATCCACTTGAATAATCTCTTTTAAATTTGTTTTTTTTTTAATCTCTCTCTCCCTTCCTGCCCTTACAGCTCCATTTTGCTTGCAGCTTTATCAAGAAATTTTGCAGTCGACTAATGGGGCTTTGCTGTGGACCTTCTTGAAGCCCTTGCTACATGGGAAGATACTCTACACTTCCAACATTAAAAAGATCAGTCTGGTGATAGAAAAGGTGAGCACATGATTTCTGATTATGTTAACTGAGTTTTTGTTACAAAAAATAGTTGTAGAGTTAGATCCAAAAACACCTCTAATTCAGTGAGCATTTATGTTCCTTGTTGTCCCTTACAATCAAGAGCTGTGTTTTGAATCCTGCTGCTTCCTCTTTATTTGGATTATCCATGGTTAATTGTAATTACTGTTACGTAAGTGCTACCATGGTTTTCCTAGCCAGTGTGGACAAAGTCTAATTGTGCTACTTGGTATACTAAGAGTAGGATTCATGTGTTAGGCCTGTGAGAATAGGGAAGCATTCAATTCAGATTCAGCTGATTTGGAGGGCAGTGATTTGATTCAGAGATTCGGGTCACTGTCCCTAATTGATTTGGCTAAATCTGCTTCAAAAGATTTGGCGCTGGTTCGGAGAGATTCGGTGATTTGGCCATAGATTTTAATGGGGAATTACTGAAATAACTATTACTTTGTCATTTTGTGGCATATTTGAATGAAAACAGCAGGGATGGTAGCCCCTTTTGAGGCCATGAAGCCTGTCAAGTTTCAAGGAGATAGGTGCAGGGGTTTCTGTGAACCTGCACCTCAAACTGTTCAAAGCTAAACTCATGTCACTAGTGTGACTTTGTGTATGTGTTAAGGCGCAGCAGGATGAAAACAGCAGGCTTGGTAGCCTGTAACAGGGGGCTTCCCAGTGCTGGTTAGATCTCTGCCCGCCCACTTGTTTCTGGGCCAACAGCCTGCCCCTCTTTTGCCTGCCACACTTTGATGGAAAACCGATTCAGATGTTTCCCAGGCAGGAGGCTGTCCATTTAGGTGTCCTGGGGTGACATCCATTCCACAGCTCCATACTTCCCTTAACACCGTGGCCCATGCCTCATGCCTTACATTCTTTACCTTGTCTCTGGGACCTTTGGCTCCCCCTTAGGCCCTGGCCCCACCTTCAGACCAGTCAGTATCCTGAGACTCTTGCTCTGGGCATTCCTCGTGGTGGGCCCCTGGCCCTTTGACCCCGCTTTGGGTCCTGGCCCCAGCACAGACAAGTCAAGGATACCTCTGATATCTTTTATTAGACCAACTGAATAGTTGGAGACGTATATCTCAGCAAGCTTTTAGGTTTAAAAACCCTTTGTCAGGGTGAGGAAGCATCTGCAGTTGGTGTGTGCACTTCCTGTGTGGAATGAATAGTAAAGAAGCCAGATGCTGGGCTGCAGGCAAGAAATCCAGTCGGTGAAAATGTAAATTGGGGCATCAAGGGGTGAGAGAGAGGCTGGGGTGGGGGGAGGGGAAGGGGACTGTCGCAGCCAGGTAAAAATGAAGAGGTACCTGGGGAGTCAGATATCAGGCAGGTTATAGTGTCTCATAAATCCAATGTCTATACTGAGTTCATGAGTTTTTTGATTTAGGAGGCTGATGAAGTGAAGTTCATGGCCTCGTCTGTGAAAAGTGGTTTGTAAATTCAAACAACCACCGAACTTCACTAACTAGTGAAGCACTGAACCATCACCAGAAGCCAACTTCCTACAGTCCAAAACACACTGAATGGATCCAGACCATGCCATGATAAGAAATGCAAAACCTGCCAACATATTGCCAGTACCCCCATGATTACTACACCCCACAACAGAATCATCACCACTTCTGAATCTTATAACTACACATCCAGAAATGTTATATATCTCACCCAGTGCACCAAATGCCCTAGTGGAAAATACCTAGGAGACACCAAGCAACAACTGTGCACCAGAATGAATGCACACCAGAAATCTATTACAGATAAGAATACCCAACTAGGCTGGGGTGGGACTTGATAATCTGTTGAGGTCACTTCTGACCCTAGCATCTATGAATCTATGAAACTACCTGTGAGGGCACATTTCTCACAAGAAAGCCACTCTGTCTCCAGTCTCTCAGGCCTGATCCTCAAAGGGAATTTTCAAACCACTTTTCACAGACAAGCCTATGAACTGCAATCTATCAGCCTCTTAGATAAAAAAAAACAAACTCATGGACTCAATACAGACATTGGATTTATGACAACATCTGAGTCCCCAGGTACCTTTCCACTTTTACCTGCTACGTGCCCCTTTTCCCCCCATTCCCAGCCTGTCCCTCATCCCCTGACACCTGAATTTACATTTTCAGTAACTAGCTTTCTTGCATGCATACCAGCCTCTGGCTTCATCACTATTCATTCCATCCAGGAAGAGCAGAGGGGTCTTCCCAGTACGGGTGAGATCTTGGTCCACCCACCTGTTTCTGGGCCAACCACCCACCCACACCTCTTTTTCATGCCACACCTTGATGGAAAACCAATTCAGATGTTTCCCAGGGGAGGGAGGCTGCCCATTTAGGCCCCTGATGTCTAGGGGTAACATCCATTCCACAGCTTCATACCTCCCCTAAAACTGCGGCGCATGTCTTGCAGACTCCATCCCAGGCAGCTAAGCTCACCTGGAGCCTCACAACTCCACTGCAACCAGCAAGTTTCTCAAAGATCTTACAGGTCTGGGCTTTCCCCAGCCAGGGCTGTGCATGTGTGTGGTGGCTGGAGGTTATAAGGTATGTGGTGGCTGGAGGTATAAGGCCTACCTGGCTTTTACCAGGGAAGTTTGTGGTACTGGCATTTCTTGGGGGTTCCTGTGCCTCTGGCAGTCCCACCAAGCCTCCCGACCCTGGCGGGGTACAGTTTTAGGTCATGCCCAGGACCTGGAGCCTCTTCTTTCCCCATAGTCCTAGTCCAGGGGTGGGCAATTATTTCGGGTGGAGGGCCACTTACTGAGTTTTGGCAAGCCATCAAGGGCTGCATGACAGGCAGCCAGGGACAGATAAATATTATTTTTTAAAATTTTTCAGGGGCCCCACGGGCTGGATGGAATAGCCCGGCAGGCCACATCTGGCCCATGGGCTGCATTTTGCCCACCCCTGCTCTAGTCTATACCTGTTCATCCTGGCATGGGAGCTCAGCAGGGAGATGTTCTTCCCCTGCTAGCTGGTGATACAGTGAGTGCTGCCTCCAGCTCTGAGAACAGGGCATTAAACGGTTTTAAAAGAATTTAAACAGGAAATATGTGTGGACAGAGTGAGGAGGGTGGTACTTGCTCTCTGCGCAGGTGGGACTTGGTGAACCCTAGCAGCAGGAGGTTCACCTAGAATTCAAGGAGGTGTGGTGGGGTGTCGCAACATCCCCAGCAATGCTCTCTCTTGGAACACTGGTTGGTGGACAGGACAGGTGTTCCTGGGCAACCGTGGCCAGATCCTGCCACATCTGGCTGTGGCTTGCCCAATAAGCCAAGGGGTCACAGTTCAGCGTCTCCATGTCCTTGGTGAGATAAGTAGCCACCGAAGTGTCCATGCTACCTGCCTGAGGCTGGGGTCTGGTTCTTCTGGATCCCAACATTGAAGCCATGCCCTTGGCCCACATTAGCAGTGGCTGTCATGGAGGAGACTGGCTGGTGCTGGGAGTGCTGGCACGGGAAAGTGGATCCCCCTCTTCCACACCCCCCGACCTCTGCCCTTCTGTCTCCCTGACTCTGTTCATCAGCACCTCTGTCCAGAGATCCAGGGTTTTGTGGGCACACAGTCCCCTTCACCCTCAGGTCATACATGGCTGCCAGCATGTGGACCATACTGGTCTGCAACAGATCCAGCTGTTTTTTGATGCCCTCCTTCAGCCGCTCCACCAGTGCCTGCACCTCTGGTGACAGCGGCTTGCCCCAGCCAGGAACATTGATCCCTTGGAAATTCTTCATTTGGTTCTCAAGCTCCTTCTCTACAGGGATCACCTGGCTAAGGAGGGCTAGCCAGTGCTGAGGGTCTTGGTGGTCTTGAGGAGAAGCTTGAGGAGACCACTGAGATCTGGGAGATGATCTCCCACTCTGTTTTGTTAAGGGGGCCGCTGATCCCAATCTCCCCAAGCAAGGCCATCTCATCTCAAGGGCCCCTGACACGGCTCTATGAGCGATCGTGGTGCTTGGGCCAGGTGCCAGATGATTGGAAGGTAGCAAATGTGGTCCCCATCTTCAAGAAGGGGAAGAGGGAGGACCCGGGAAACTATAGGCCCGTCAGTCTTACCTCAATCCTG